AGCAGTAGAAAAAATATACATTACTAGATATACCAAATGATTCACACCTTATGTCAGACGTGTATGACGTAGCTTCCCGTAGCTGAAATAAGTTATTACGCCGGCTCCACACGTAGGCCCCAATATTGTCCCCAACGTTACTCGTCCAACGTGTGGATCTAGAAAATGGCATTGGTCCCAACGTTGGGGCGAGCGTAGGTAGTTGGCCGGCTCGTGTCGGTTTCATCAAAGGAATCTGTGCCAACGCTCGCGATCTGTCCACACGTTTGCTCAGTTCTATTGCAACACGCAGCGAGTGCGTACGTCGAGCGAGAATGGCTTCCTCTTCCACAAAATCGCCACCAGCATGGACAAATAAAAAAGTAATAGAATTCATTGAACTTTATCAAGCACATCAAATAATATGGGACGTAACTCGAAAGGATTATAAAAATAAAAATTTATTAGCTGATGCATGACGCACCATTCAACAGAATATTGGAGTGATTTACTCAATTGAAGATTTTAAAAAAGCGAGAGTCATTAAAGAGCGAATATTGCCTTTACAGAAAAAAAATTAGGGACTCTACTCGATCTGGATCATCAACAGACGATATTTTTTAACCAAATTGGTTCGCTTATGAGTATATGAGTTCATCTTCACATTGGCCCTAACGGGACAGAACTAGTTTATTAGCCAACGTGTGTACGCCTCACCAAATTTGCAGTCCCACGTTGGTACGAGCATTGGGACCAACGTGTGGAGCCGGCCTAAGAAAGAGCATTCTCCGTATTCGTCACAGAATAATTTATTGATTTGAATTATTTACAAAATATATTTTATTGTTTACTGTGAAATTTTGCCGCCCCCTAAAAAGTGCCGGCCGGGGCGGGCCTTCCCCCCCGCCCCCACTACGCTACGCCACTGCCTCTTCATAATTGAGAGATTGAGACTGGCCCGCAGCCAGACCACCGAACAACTGTAGCCATATTAGTCATTAAAAAGTTATATTGATGGTATCTAATATTCTTTTAAAACGACTTTTTTAAATTTTAATTTATCAAATTTCAAAAAAGATCTTCGTAAATATTTTTTATTATAGATATAATTAACAATAAGATAAAGCTTTTGCTCTGATTATAATATGTATATCCTATAATATTTTCCTGTGCTTCTTTAGTAATTAATGACGCTACATTTTTACATACAAAATATACATTATAAAATAAGGACTTCAACCGCGCATTCATAGGTTCCCGTAGGTGAAAGAATTTCATGATCCGATCAGAATTTCCGAAGACCGCCGTACAAACAAACAAACAAAAGTAATAAACTTTATCTCTTTGGAGGTTATAATATTAGTATGTTTTGGGACGTGGTGTCCCTGCAAAGCCAGTATGGGTTATTAGTTTCGTGAATAAATCATTATACTTGTATAGAATGATTATTAAGTAATAAACAGAACTGAAATCCTCCTTTATACTGAACACTTTTCAAGTGTAGTGTGGTCCATATATCTGCAGGGCACCATCTATTGCTAAAGTTCGATCTAATGTCTCTATTGTTGTTTGTTTAGTTTTGTCTGACATTATATTGAATAGTTGTTAGGTAAACTTATAAGGAAGCTAACATTCCTTATTACATACGATCTGATTTCGACGAGGATGTCTTACCCGGGCTTATATACTACTTATGTTAGCATAATAATGGCGAGCCAACGGCACGAAATATTCTGCACAAACTAGACTAAATTTAGTTTTATTGCGAAATAAGTATTCAATTTTGAAAATAATTACGATAAAAGATGAAGAAGATAATTACGAACTTATTATATTATATAATATTCATACTAAAATTATGAAAAGCGAAGATTCAATTGTTAGTTTGTTTACATTTAAAAGGTTCCGTAATTACTGGACTGCCCTGCGATTCTGTAACAATCCAAACCCAAATTCGAATTCACTCAGCATAAGTGAAGTGAGTTTTGAATAACGTAGGAAAAAAATATCTAAGACACATATAATCAATCAATCTGTTTTGTATTTTTTATACAAAAAAAAAAAACAATCAAAGAATTTCTTGACTAAATGACGTAGATTCGGACATATAAGTGAATTCGAATTCGGGTCTGGATTCTTACAGAGTGATAGGGCTGATTTTAAAAATTCTATCATCTACGGATAGCTACTTTATAAACGGGTAAGATAGGCTATAATTTATGCGAGCGATGTCGCAGGAGGATAGCTAGTAGGATATGATTATATTTATTTGATTACATTTCACTAACGCCACAGGGACACATGAATTATACTATAGTTTAACATACAAATAAAAATAATCTTACACTATATTAATTAATCATTAGATTTTTTTTTAAATTGTATTGTTTGGAGAAGGGTAACACAATCAGCACCAATGGCGCTCCAATAAATAATACGTATTTTTACACCTCTTGTTATTAGATCGAGATATAAATAATATCACCGTCGATTTGCGAAGAAGACATTGCACATAGACAGCTGAGTAAAAACAAGTAGAAAATAGTTTGATTCTAAAAGCCTATTACATTAGGCTTTTGGAACTTTCTTTTGAATAAAAATATGAGTGCTCATAAGAATCGCTGTTCTGTCAAATAATCAGATAGACAGAGAAATGGTAATTAAGGCTCCAATGATTTTGAGATGCGATTATAACGTTCTGTTTGTAAAATTGAGGACTTCTTTACTTTTAATTTACACTAGGATCAGCATTTTTTCCCCTCGATTTGGAGTAATTGCTGACCTCGTGTAAACGCTCCTTTAGGCTTTAAATTTCATAATTTTAGTATACAGTGCAAAGTGAGAATTAGATCTCTTTGTAAAATAAAATAATTATTTTATGAGACAATTTTTATCGTGATGTCATCTCCGAAAAAAACTAAATAGGACAAATTATTTTCACATATCTTAAATTACACGCTGACATTTTGAAATAATCCACCTGTTTTGAAATTTGCACCCAGGACGATGTAAAAAAAAACTCGGACTTTTTTTATTAATGGCATTGCCCTTTATACATTTTGCTGAAAAGTAGACCTGTTCTTTGAAAATATATTCTTGTTATCTTATTATTTATACTTGTAAGCTAAATTCAAATAATCTGTAGGTAGTATATTTTCTTTAGTAAATGAAAGAGAAATTAGCGACAGAATAATATATTTTAAATACTTTGATGCACAAACCAGAGGTAGCAAAGCAATAAAAAATACCATTAGTAAAAAATCAAATAGGTATTTAAATATATATAAATTATAAAAGCTATATATATATTTTTAGATTCATCGGTTACTTTCAATAAATAGCACATGTTTCATCCGTATTTTTTACGCTTTGACCGTTTTGAAATATGATTTGTTACCGGATTAGCTTGTCAAAGGGCTGCATAGAAGTCGGATTTATTACTCACAGGAATGCTTCTTGTCAAAATGCAAGACGAAGCTGGAATTGGGTTTTGTAACTACCGATTTGGCAATAATATACAATCATAAAGCTTTCTTATACATATGTGTCTATACTAATATTATTAAAAGATGAAGTTTCTAATTTTATTTGTTTATAGGGGCATCTTCGGAGATATTGATTTGACCGTGAAAATTCTCTACACTTATGAGAAGCTACATCATACGCGGGTGTCATAAGCTATAAATTACGCAATAAATGTCGCGGGAAATCAGCTAGTGTATTATAATATCCATTGGTGTGGCGTATAGACATGCGGGCTGAGGAGATATTCTGTAGAATTTCATTTAAAGAGTTGGTATATTTATATCAATTGTCCATTTCTCAGTAAATTATGTTGAAGTATTTTGTTTCTTTGAATTCAATAGTAAATATTGGAATGATATGAAATATATCAACTCGTATTGTGGATATGTGTCAATATTCAACATGAGCCTTTTGTGCGGAAAGCTGCCATTCACTGTCGAGTGCAGAGTTAGAAAATTAATGATTGCGTTCCGTTTTAAGCACTATTTTCTTTGTATATTTAAGTATTAAAAACATGTATTTATTCATTGTTTAAATATGATATGGCACTATACATAATAAAACAATTGCATAAATATAAAACTAAAAAGCCTTTTACTATATCAAAGGTTAACCTACAAAAATATAAACAAATATAAAAAAAGGTCAGTCAAGTGTCCAGTCCTGAACACCGCTTATTGAATTCGGAAATTTCTTTACGAAGTTTACATAGTTATAGTATGTTAAAAAACGAGGAACGTTGGAAACCCTGGGCTAAACAGTAATTGTGTATTTTATGAAATTACGTGAGAAATTAGTCAGCAATATGTGATTTCCAAACAAATTAAAAGACATCCGACTTATATCTTATTAATTACCATCATTCTGAAAATATTCCAAGCTTTGTAATTTCAGAAATTTATTACTAACAGTATTCAAAGTATTTAGATCAAAAATATTCCTAACAGCATTTTTCGAATTCACTTCATCTAATAAGCATTTCAAAATTAATTTTCGTTATGAAATAGAACAGTCCCCTTCTCATCCGTCATATTAGTAATATGATCTATTCATTCTTATGTTTTGGTATTTAGGACAAATCTTATTTATGTACACACATTACGAACGAAATATTTTTGAGATCAAAACGATATATGATATCTTCTTCGAATAAATTGGCTTCGAGTAAACTTATTGTGTGAAAATAACATTGTATTCGACTTTTCTCGTGGTCTCGTTTTCTTTCTATAAGAATACATAATTTATTAGCTTCTGATAAAATTCAATTTCTATCACTATGACTTTCAGTTCAATAAGTTTTGGGTAACAGTCTCTTTCGGTTGGTTCATTTATACTGTCGTTAATAGAAAATTAACTTGTATAGCAATTGTATTTTCAGGGAATTTGATACTGTAACAAACTCATGTTTTGAAGACATAGGTAGAAAAAACAGTGAATATAAATAATATTTTAAATTTACAAACTACCATTTTTTAATAGGATTATTTTATTTGCAGGTATTTATCAAAAAAGTGAAATGCTCAAGATTCGCGAGTGAAGTGATCCATGATGGCGGTGAATAGTCCCGGTGGATATCCACCCGTTTCCCCAAAACCTCACACACCTAAAAGTCCTCGCCATTTTGTTTTTCCACAGAAAAGTCCCTCTATCACGTCCAGCACTTCTTCCTCGGGATATTACACACCCCAATCTGGTTGTAGCTATGATAAGCACAACCAGCCACCAAAATCACCAATAGCCCATGGTCATAGGAGTCCGATGAGTCCAAGGCACTTCAATTTTCCCCAGAATCCTTCCGGACGTTCTAGCCCTTGCAATTTCGATAGAGTCCATCACACTGGCCTCCACTACTCGACATCTTTGAAGCACAGCCGCAGAGAGAAGTCCCGATCACCAAAGCCTCCCCCAGTTCATATTCATACTAATCCTGGCTATGTATCTCCAAATCGCACGAGAAAAATTTATGGCTCTAATTCCACAGTGAATTCTCCTCGTCTAGTTCCTTCTCCTAGCATAGTCTCTAGTCACACTGACGATTCGATGGATGCAATGCCAGGCACACCATCCGCTATTGTTCACGACGCAGACGATGAGGCTACGACTACATCTTCAAGAGTTTGCCGTAAATCCACATCTGATTTGACGGATTTAACAGATGATACGCCAAAGACTCGATCCACAAGTATTAGTAGACCGTGCTCGCCGATGCGCAGAGGATCAATGAAGGGTGGTCTGGCTTATTTGGCAAGCAGAAGAGGATCCAGGGAGTCTACTATGTCTAACTGTGACTCTGTTGAAGATATTGGTCCGCTAAATTTCCAAAACACGATGCGTGGTCGTCAAAGGCGAACCTCAAATTTTCTGGAGTTACCAGGTGAGCTTTGAATATGTAAACTTGGAATAATAGAGTCTATCTCAATTTGTTGAAATAGGAAGGTTCTGTAGTACTTTAAAATTATATAAGCATATATCGTGTATTGGTTGTATCTTGCTCTCACTAATGTATTTTTAAAACCGCAGAATAAAACAGAGAATTAATTTAAAATCGTTTTTAAACTTGTCATAGTTTAAAACCGATGGCGGAATTTTCATCGTTTGTAGCAGAAGAGCTAATGTTGAAAAATTTAATTATCTAGTCACCATTTAAGGTTTCATAATTAATAACCAATGCTGTTTTGTATTCATTATACATAAAGCTTTTTAATTCATTCCCGTACACGTTTATGCCTTAGTTAATAAACTAATTTAACTTTTGTGGGCTGTCATTATAGAAAGTTAATTTGATTAATATCGAAGTTGTGTTAAACTTGTTGTTGAAGTTTTTTTCATGAAAACCTTTATTTTGTGTAAGTACATTTCTAAAATGTTTTCTTCAGAGTAAAGTTGTAGACTTAGATATTGGGAAATATGTCGAAATCTTTTGATTGAATAAGTTTTTCAAATATTATTATACAATGTTTATTTTCTGTTAATAAAGCTTCATGTATTTAACTTGTAATATGATATTTGTTACCGTATTTAATAATTTCTTGCGTTCGTTCGTGTAATACTTTTTTTTTGTATCTTTAAATTAAGTTCTACATTCATATAAGAGTTTTCAAAGAAATCGTTTATAATTTTAACGCAAAAGTAAAAAGTTAAATGTAAAAAGTAAAAGAAACTTTTCTTGTTGTTTGAAATATCTTTACGACTTTGCTAAGAGCGAGAAGACATTGTCTCATGTATCAATAATCTGTTCAACAATGCTTTTATATTAGATATTTGAACACGTTATTAAAAGTTTGTCTACATTGTTGCTATTGAAAGAGAAGCGAAGTTATTTCTTACAATCTGCGTACACCGTTTGACTTTCTTCCAAGTTTTCCTAGTCCAAGAATACTAAACAATACTTTTTTGGAGTCACAATTTTGTTATGAAATTTGCGTATCAAAGTTTTTTTAGAGTGAATTTTTAATTCAATAAATTACTGTAGATAATTTTCTGTAATACAGTGAAAGGTGTAATAAAAATACTCAGACTCTCATTTAATGGAATCTGTATGCAATCGCTAGAAGTAGTTTCGAGCCACCAGGTGTTCCTGGTGACCTCTGCACTGGGTACTTAGTGATGTATACCCTTAGTTCTTCCACATATTGAAATATCAAGCACTAGAAAGCTTTTACACATTTTTGTCACGATCTCTTAACCCATATCTCTATATTCTTTATTCTTTATTTAAGCGGCATAAATCTGTAGCTTATGACTCGAGTATCATGAATAGAAGGAGAAAAGATAAAGTTATTGCCAATAAATTATTAAAAACAGCATTTGCTGCTAAACAATATGAAACACAAACCGGCTATATATATAATATTGTCAATAAAAAACTTAATATCTACCCCCTTAATTATTGTGATTGCAAAAAAGAACTGTTATGTCTTGGATTAAATTACTAAGTTATATAGATACTGAAAATCTATTAAAATGTATTATATATAAATAAATAACAAAGTATTTAGCTTCTTAAACCTTATTAAATAATAATTTTTAAATCGACTAAAATACTGGGCATGTATCATTTTCTCGACGTTAAACACTCACATTCACACACACTAACACACACACACACACAAAATAAAATATTATGATGATAAAATATTATGAATTATTTGACTTTAATCTGTGCTAATTTTTATTTACATTTACAATTAAGACACTGAATGGAGGAGCGGTGATTTCCCAATACAGGTTTATTATAAACTTACTGGGAATCTCACCACAATATTGTAAGCAAATATTTTTTGTTAATGAAATAAAACATTTTTCTTTTTTTTTATTTTCATATCGGCTATGTGATGGAGCCATTAAGGGTGCCTGATTTCGTGAAACACATCATCGTTTTTCTCTTCTTGTCTTGTTTTTCTTCGGTTTTACGACAGTTATAAGACTTTTAAGTAAAAGGGACCATTGAAAACATTCCCCCAATGTGCATTTACGATTTGCATAGGGTGTCATAATTTCATAAAAAGCTAACATACTTCATTCTTATTTCTATGTAATAGCAGTTTGAAAGACATATTTATGCTATAAATGGGATGATGACTAGATAAAAAAATAGAATTTCTATTTAGTCCGTCAACTAGATAATAGAAAAATATTAGCTAATTTATATTATATTCAAAATATTAGGTCCTTACGTATGAAATTGGCGTTTTGTCGTATTGGCCATTGAAATCACAAATTTCTCTTCCTTGGTTGGGAGTTCCAAATTCAAATTTATACAGCCAGTTATACAAGTATTAGTGTTTTGTTAGGCGGCATTCATTTGTTTTTTTTTCTTCTGTTTGTCCTATTTACGTCAACCAGTATAAAACATGGAAAACTTGAAATATCGTATTATTTACGAGTACGAGTTCCATCGTGGTATCAGTGCTGCGGAAACGGCTCGAAGGATTAATGATGTGTATGGCGCTTGTGTAGCAAAAGAAAACATAGAACGGTTTTGGTTCCAACGTCTTCGTTCTGGAAATTTCGACCTGTTGAACAAGCCCTGTGGACGGCCGGAGACCCAATTTAATAATGAATAATTGAAGGCTATTGTGGAAGCGGATCCATCGCAAACCGCGTCCGAGAGGTTAGCTGCAGGTTGCGGTATTAGTGATAAAACTGTTTTAATCCACTTGAAGGAAATTTGAAAGATTAAAAAGCTTAAAAGGTGGGTACCTCACGAATTGAGTGAAGTAAACCGGCAAATGCGCTTCGACTGCTGCGTTACATTACTTAACCGGCACAATAATGAAGGACTTTTAAATCAAATTATTACCTTCGATGAAAAGTGGATTCTCTACGATAATTGGAAGCACTCATCGCAATAGTTGGACACTGGTATGCCAGCCAAATCCTGCCCCAAGCGAAAATTGACCCCAAAAAAGTTACTTGTAAGCGTTTGGTGGACTAGTGCCGGAGTTGTTCATTACAGTTTTCTCAAATCTGGCCAGAAGATTACGGCAAACGTCTATTGTCAGCAATTGCAAACCATGCTGGAAAAAGTAGCTGTCAAACAACCGAGGCTGGTCAATCGCTCTACGCCACTGCTACTTCACGACAACGCTAGACCACACACTGCACAACAGACGGACTTCTAAATTAGAAGAGCTGCAATTGGAATGTCTGAGACAAACACCGTACTCCCCGGACCTTGCTCTACGAGATTACTAATTTTTTCGAAATTTGGATAACTTCTTGGAAGGGAAAAAATTCAACTCCGATGGGGCAGTGCAAATCGCCTTCAAAAATTTTATTGATTCCCGTCTGAATGTTTTTTTTAGTAAGGGGGTTAACCATGGTTTATACTTTGATTAAATAAATATATTATATTCAAAATATTCGACTTTTTGTTCCTCCCATATCAAACCCCACCTTTTCATATGTAAGGACCTAATATTATATAGATTTAACAAGAAATGGCTTAGAAAATAGGTATTTAAGTTGAGGGGTGAGGGCTCACTACGTCACAGCTTCGTAGAAAATATACAAAAGCGTGACGTCATGCGACATTTCACTCCAATGGATGGCCGTAAATTATTGATTACGCGAAAAATATTTTAAAAAAACTTATTTAATATTCTTCAATAATCTACCTGACGGACAAACAAACAGTTATTAGTCATCATGCTATATAATCATGGCAAATCTATCACGGCTATACCAAAAGCCCTGACCAATGGGGCCAAGACCTATGACTTACAAATATACCTATTAAATATTCTTTCACAGTGGTTGACCATTCAAGGCCCCGAGTGTGCTCGTTGCCAGAGAAACCGTATAATCCTCGGCTGTCAGACGACCTGTACAGATTACGGACCTTCTCGATAACCACCAAAGGAGGAGTCGTCAACTGCGGCGATTCAATCTGCAACCGTCGCAGCCGCTCCAACACGTCCGTCAACTCCACCAATAGCAGGCAAGTACTAATAGTTCTATTACTAGGTACATTTAAACGTACATTTGAAGCTACGATAATTGACAATTTTGTTAGATCAGTGTTGGTTGTAAGAGATGAATGAAAGTGTGTGGACTGTAGCCATAGGTTTATAAGATACAAAGGTAGCAGCCCTACAATAATAGATGCGCGCGGTGTCTCGTGAGGTCGTGGAGCGAGAGTGACGTTGTCGCGGCCCTCAGTCGGTGCTGAGCCCGCTCCTCCGCCTCTTCACCTCATGCCCCGGGGTGCCCACGTGCGCGCGGGCATTGTTGTCACATCCAATCAGGGATTTCCTAAGTAGTCGAGATCAACCCTTTGGGGTCAAAATCGTCAAAATATGTTGATATGATGTATTGTATATGATGTTTAAACTGTTTAACTAACCGTATTTAATTAACACAAGTTACTATTTGAAACTTTAAAGATTTGTACCCTGTAAGTTATTTATTTAAGCTGTGTATTAATAATCATTAATTACACTACATATTTACTGAGTTTTAATTTTGTAAAATTTTAATGAATGAAAGGTTCCATACCATTATGCATTAAAAAACGCGAAATATCACGTTTGTTGTTTTCTACAAAGGTGTTCGAAATTTTCGAGTTAAATACAATCGGTCGACTATTACTCGTAAAATGAAAAGTCAACTTAAGTGTCACATTTTCCTTTTAATATCGTTATGTATGTGTACTACTGCCGTAATGTTAGTATTTATACCAACGACCGTTTAGTTAGTTGAGGGGGAGGACACTTGACTCCAACGAATATTAGCTCTTTCAAGATTAAAAAGTCACAAACGGTTTACTAAATCGAAAATTGGCCTTCCCCCTACCCCCAAAGTTTTTGAAAGGTCTATCTAACGACGCCCCACACTAAGGGGATACGAAACTACTCAAAAAAAGATTTTCGATTTTTTTTTACCACTATGTTGACGTTATTGACGCAGTTACTTATATCAAATTACAACTTTCTAGTACCGAAGATTGGTGGCGGTATCGGTTAATTTAGAAAAAATGTGTCTTGCCCGACATAGTTTGGGAATCCCTGGTCCAAACATGCGTAATCAATAAATATTAATATAAAATAAAAAACAGTCTGTCACAGCACATGTAGTTGTAACAAAAATAAAATCTTATACGTTTAATGTAATGTGTCAATCTTGACCAACATGACCAAAGTAAGGGTATAGCAGCTTGGGTTCGCTCTCACTTCTCATTCATCAGCGTACTTATCACGATTGCTCTCTCTGCATAAGAGTTTCGCTACGAAATCCAATTGGCGATGATTCTGTTGTTACTTCGTCATAAACTATGTCAAAGTCAAAGTCAAAATAATTTTTATTCAAATAGACTTCTTAAAAGTACTTTTGAATAGTCCAACATTTTTTTCCCTACCAATTATTCAGGACATCTTTTGGCTGATAAGCAGAACGAGCAAGAAACTCACCAGCTCTAATAGGAGTAATTAATTTTTAAAAAACCATGTCATAACCAGATCAATACATTATAAGTAGAGAGAGAGAAAAAAAAATATGGTCTTATAATGATAACATAATCATTTAATAATAAAGGAAGCAAGATACATTTTGATATATAATGAGTTAAGAAGTAATCACCTATCCAGTTGCTGGATTATCTCAAGTCCAAGCATTCTTATCTGTTATATAATCGGATACCTTATAATAAGGTTTTTTAATAAGTATTTTTCTAATAGTAGATTTAAACTGCATGATATCTAATTGTTGTATTTTGCTTGGGACCTTATTGTAGAAGCGCACACAAAGACCCCTGAATGAGTTATTAACTTTTTGCAGTCTAGTGACAGGCACCGTTAATTTATTTTTATTTCTTGTATTAAAATTGTGTACATCAGTTTTTATAGAGAACAAAATAATATTTTTACGAACGTACATTACGTTTTTGTATAAGTATCTTCATTACGGCATATGCTGCAGAGCTAAGTCTACTCGACAATTTATCTATATGTGGGCCCCACTGTAGTTTAGAATACAATATTATTCCTAAAAATACTGTGGTATCCACAAGGTCCATCTACTTTATTTAACATAAGGTAGTACAAATTTTAGGCATTTTGTTTTTCCTTCATCAAGGAGAAGATTATTTACATTAAACCAATGTACTACTTTAGCGATAGAATTTTTCATATCGTCATTTAGAGGTAGCCTTCTTTTAATTTTAAACAAAAGTGAAGTGTCATCCTCAAATTAAACTATTCCGTGATCATCCCTTACGAAATAAGGCAAGTCATTTATGTAAATCAAAAACAAGAAAGGACCAAGTATTGAGCCCTGCGGAACACCCATCTTAACTTTCGATTCAAGGGATCTTTTGCCATTGATATCAACCCTCTGCTACCCGATTTATGTAAGGGAATAATTATACTATATTTCATGAGCTCAGGAAAAATACCACAATCAGTACATTAATTAAATATATATGCTATGATTGGAGCTATTGTCTCAATTACCGATATAGAAACTTCAATGGAATTACCCCATAAAACAGCGGTTTTCTTTTTTTTAGCTGAGTAAAATATTTTATTATGCATTTAGAATATTTATTATATATTCTCTGCCAGTTTCACAATTTATGATATTCCACGTTATTTTAACTTTATCTTTACTAATTTTAATTTTTGTATTTAAATAATTACATTTGGCTAAACGACACACTTTTTTAAATAATTTTGAGTAATTTCCTACATATTCTTTGAAGTTCTCACTTGTGTTATAATTACGTTCATCATATGATTCATAGAGCCTTTTTCTGCTTTTGTGGATTCCTGATGTAGCCCACACACTTAAAGTTATAGGAACACTAATACTATTTTTTTGTGGGACAAAAATCTTATTGAATTCTGTACAATAAAAATCAAAGAAATCTTTGTACACATCATTGGGATTACTTTTATGTTTCAAATGATACAATTTACTATCTAATTGATTTTTAAAACGTTCCAAGCGACTCTTACTTTTTGACACAACTGTAATGTCTCTCCTAGCCACAAACGTGCATTTATGCGGAAAGCTAACTATTTGTCCAAAATGATCTGACGGTAGTTGTTTGATTATCTGTTTTGAAAGTGGTATCAGATCTGTAAAAATGTTGTGAATTCATGTGGACGAAGTAACGGTTAATCTAGTAGGCTCCTTAAACATTTGTGCAAGATTATAGAACATAAATAGTTTTACAAGTCTTGTACATGAATTGGAGTTTCCTAATAAATCAACGTTAAAATCACCCCCAATCACTAATCGTTTGCCTTTGCTATATACCTTTTTTAAAGCTTCATCCATAACTATTTCAAAAAGATCGTAATGAGAATCTAAACTTGAAGGAGATTAATAGAGATTGCCTGCATAGATCTGGTCCAGCTCTATGCAGGCAATCTCTATTATTTCCTCAACCGATAGGCTCACTATATCTCTACGTTATTTAAATTTAAACTTTTTATTTAATAAAATTAATGCGCCACGCATTGCGTTTTTTCTAATGAACGAGCTTCCATCCAAGTGATTATTGAAGTTAAAAATGCAATTATAACTTGTTAGAGTCCATGAATAATTCTACTTCTATCTCTTTACTCAACATCCTTGAACATTTTGATGCACTAGGTTGATGACTGATAGTTATGATCTATATAATATAAACATTAATATATTACTTTTAAAAAAAAATCACGACTAAAGTAAAATTAGAAACTGATAATGTAAAATATCTAATCGGACTGTCATAGTCCTTTTGACTACCTCCGTGGCTGAGGAGTTCCTCCTTTGTACGTGTTCGTTTGCCGAATTCAAGATGTCGCAATCTCTGAGGTATCGGGTTCTCTTTCCAGTAGGAATAGAAAATTAACTTTGCTTTATTGTCTCGGGTTTAGGTGTTGTCGGTTAAATGTTTCTGGGCTTTAGCTTTCACAAGTTACAACAACAACTTAAGTTATGTCGTCTCATATTTATTTATTTACGTTGTCAATGTATTTTTTATTGTATCAATGTAGAATAAATATTCGTGCATTTAAGAAAATTCTAATTAGTGAAGAAATGATAAGTAACTGATTATAATCATGGGCACGCTAAAAATAGATTAATATTTAGTTAACAAATCGTTTGATCATTTTATCGATATTGAGTAAGTGGACGGCAAATTATAAAGCTGAGTGCACACCTGTAATGTCTCTGATAATGCATCTTTACTGCAATTGTATTAATTTAGAACGATTATAGTATAGTATTGTTCTTCACATAATTAATAATACTGATAATAATAACTTGAAAGTCAGTCAGTCACCTTTGAGTTATATACAACGTGTCCCAAAATTCAACGATAAGCGGGCGCCAAGAGGTAGACCTGCTCATGTGTACTTATGGAAAAATAAGAAAAAAATTATATCTTATTAATATTTTTTATTATAAAATAAAATTCGAAAATTTTCAAAAGAGTTGTAGCGAATAGTAGTGCTACTTAGGTATCCGATACCAAAAAAAGATTGAACATAATTGAGAAGTTGTGGTCGTGGTAGTTGAAAATATCATAAAAGGTGTAAATTTTCGAAGATATTCGAATTTAATTTTATATTAAAAAAGATATGATATAATTTTTTTCTTATTTTTCCATAAGTACACATGAGCAAGGGTACCTCTTGGCGCCCGCTTATCGTTGAATTTTGGGACACGTGTATATTTAGATAAGAAGTGAAGTAAATATTAGGTTATAGTTCAAATTTATTTTAAAGGTCATCCTTAAACTGAAAATTTTCAATATTTTTTGATAATAAATGTGAATAAAATGTTTCTTGGCATTCCGAACTACAGTATGCTTACTCTCGACCGCAATCGAGATCCATCGACATTGCAATTGTGCCGTTTCGTATTCTTGATTGGACACACTAGCGACAGAGTATACTAGTGATGTATACAGGAATAGTACCTTAGACTTTGTTCTATGAACAAAATATG